TGGTTTTCTCATGTTGTCATCAAGTAATCGAATGTTTGCGAGTTATCAAAATCATATTTTTTCCTTTCGTTCATTTCAATATATTCATGTTTCTGTCTTTATCTCTGTCGTAAATTAATTTAAACAAATTTCCCATACCATCCTCGTTGAGATACACCTGCGCGCTTATCTTATAACCATATCTGAGGTTGTATAAAATGACTAACTGTTCAATGAGTGAGTTCTTCCTTGAACTGCATCTTGTCTTCTTGCTTAATACTCCAACGACCACATTAGTGTTCTATGATAGCGGTCAATTTTTGGCAGCTGGTGAAGTTTGTTAATATCCTGAACACCTGCTGAAGGGTAAACGGAAAAAGGGATCGTGTGAGAGTACACTTTGCATACTGACCATAAGCGAGTCACGAGGTTATAAGATAAGCGCGCGGGTGTATCTCAACGATGATGGTATGGGATCAGCCTGTAATATATTACAAAAATACGTGTATTATTTTTTCTGTGATTTAATTGAAGAGTAATGCATTTCACAAAAAAAAAATGTTATGCAAAATGGTAATTTTGGAGAGGGCGGGGGTTTAAACTCGCGACAGTCGATTCCACTATGATTGGAATACCCCCACAACCCTTACAACATGGGATTTCATGTCGGTCATTTTATCATTATTTCTAAAGATTTGTACAAAGTTGGAAGAAAGTCCTTCCTTGGATTTGTATAGGATTTACAGAGCGGACACATAATTGTCTGACCAAGCTCTTTTTAATTTTACCTTCGAGTGTGACCTTGACCATGAGTCGGGGAAAAGGGTGCTGTGGATTCGCACATCGCCTTGTTCATACAGGAATTTAAGCAAAGTATGATGAAATAAGGGGTTAAGGGATGCTAGTAGCGGGCACTGTGGGGACGGACATACGGACCAACTGATGGCTGCGCCAGAAAAGTCCACCACTACATTATATGCTGAAGGTATAATTGTACCAATAATAACAAACTTCACCGTTAATTTTATTATTTTTATTGCATTTAACAACAAGAAACATATTCACAACTGTCAACATACAATATCTCACATATTACATTGTAATAATGATCATCATCTTCATATTGACCACATTGTTGAACTGATGCTTTAAAATGTTTCATGTAAAATCATAATTATTATAACTTGTTTTCGTTTAATTATTAACAAATTTACAAACTATGAAATACTGGCATAAATTCCTGTTTGACATTGACATAAAATGAATAATTTACCAGTAATAAACGAAGTTTCTAAATTCATTTCTAATAAATAACATGAAGTCTTTGAGCAACAGATAAAACCTTTGACATATGAACTATAATAACTGAACAACTCAGTTTGGGAACTAACTCAATGTTCCTGACATAAGCTAATCATTTTCGCTGATAGCGCTCCCTTGCTAAATGTTACATACTTATATTCTTGGACAAACTGTCTCAATACCAGGAAGTGTTAAAATATAAATAAACATAGCCCATTTATGATTTCTTCGATGGCTCAGTACAATACCTTAACTTTATTCAACCCCATGAATGCGAATAAACACTTGCCTATATAACAAGTAAAGAGGGAGGTCAAAGTAAAAACCTATGTGATTGGTGATCAAAGTATATTAAATTTCATTACTGCTTCATTTTAGTGTTTAGGTAAAAAATATCCCTACAATGGACTAATATAAATTCAAGACAGGGAAGGTATATTTCACAAATATAAAAAAAATTATAATGTTAAAGGCAAATAAAGTCTCGGAAATGACTACATTTTTCTTTCTGTTAAAAGGGCAAAAACGCAATCAATAAAATAGCCAATGAGTAGCTCTTTGGGAAATGTAGCAGGAAACCAAAAACCCAATGGTTCTAGGGAATGATATCATTAGCTTAAAAGACCTTTAAAATATCTGGCAACAAAGAAAATTATGGAAATGAATGACATACGTTCATTTATACTATATACCATCAAATAGGTGATTATATTGAGCTTAAGGTTGACACAACAACACCCTGTTGACCACATCCGGTCAATAAAAACGTCATAATAACAACAACAGTCTCAGCCTTATATTTGTCCCTCTATTTATCTCATGTACTACGTTTCGTTCATGTACGCTACAAAAATAATCTTTTTTTGTTTGTTTATTTGGGTTTTATGTCACAGCAAAGGTCATATGGCGATGTTCCAGCTTTACTGTTGGAAGAAGAGCTCAGGATAGCTTCCTCACATAAAAGACTCCAAAGTCCCTGTCTGGATTTGAACCCACAGCGATGAGGGGTAAGGGATGTGATGTCAACGCACTCGGCCACGGACACACCAAAAATATAATAACTTGCAATGCTAAAATTAACCAATGTTAACTTAAAAATTGTAACATTTAAAGCATACATTATCAAAATTAATATTAGTACATCAGATGAATGGAGTACAGTAAACTGTAATTTGAATTTTATAAATTAACAAATCAAATGACAAACAGTATATAACAATTATAGAAATAATACATACACTAATAATAAAATATTACATTTTTTAATATTTAAAAAATAGCATTTGAAATTCATCCTCTTCATACATGTCCAATGTATGTAAATCACAACCATGTACAATTAATTTAAAAAAGATCAACAAGCTACAAATTTTGCAATATTTTATAACAATCTACAATATTCAACATAACATTTTGTTACGTAAAAACAAATGCTTCCCTAGCAATGAGGGCCAAAATCAATTCCTTAATGATGGAATAAAGGTGAATTTCTCTATTTTGTCCGATTATATTAAATAATACCATACTCTAATATCATTCACCAGGGCTGTATTATGAAATTTTCATTTAACAAGTTATGTTCATTAAACATACATACTTGCGTTCTAAATCTGTTCATAAAGAACAAGGTGAAGGTCATGTCTCAGAATGAGGTATATATAGAGAGTTCTTGTCATTTCACATAATTCTTTATTACTGCTATATGTATAGTGATAATAATTTCAATTTCTGTTTCAAATCTTTTTCAAATAACAGTGTTTTTTTTTAATATAACACAATTAATTTCTTATAACAATTTTTGACTACTTTCAGAATTAATTAGGCTAATTAAGATTTTTCTTCACATGCTAATTAACATTCCTGTAAGGTTTCATGACTGTAGGTCAAATATTGTTTGAGTTACGTACAACACAAGTTGAAAATTGCAAATATTTACTTAGTCAAGGGCAATAAGTCTAAAAATACTAAAAATATCCACACAAAAATACCCAGGTGTACAACTACACATGCTGAGCAACATTCTTGTAAGGTTTCATGACTCTAAGTCAAATACTTTTTTAGTTACGTGTGACACAAGTTAAAAATTGTAATTTTTTACTAAGTCAAGGGCAATAACTTTAAAAATACTAAATATATCCACATAATAAACCCCAGGTGCACAACTTCACATACTGATCAACATTCCTGTAAGGTTTCATGACTCTAGGTCAATTAGTTTTTGAGCTACGTGTGACACAAAAAAGTGAACGGACGGAAGGACGGACGGACGGATGGACAAGGGTAAATCTAAATGTACCCCCCCCCCTCCTATGGTGGGGGGACAAAAAGGTAGCCTTATACTTATATCATAAGCAATTTGTATATCTTATTTGTTCAGAACATTCAAGTTAAGTTTAATTTATCCAAGTAAATTTTGTGTAGTGTTTAATTCATTTCCCCTTAACTTACTGAGTTTGTTAACTTTAATTGCCCAATAGTCTGAACTGTTCATCAAGTTAAATTAAATATAACAATTTATTTCTCAAATATAAAGTTTCATTTAACACGAATAACTTAGTAAAAACATAGCTAACAAGTTGAACATGACAGTTTCAAATTTACTTTCAAATACAATATTTATTATAATATAACACTGTAGACTTCGAAGGTATATAAAATTCCCTTTAAAGCTGAACATTTAGTTTGTGAGAAGTCATAATGATACATTTTTAAATAAAATATTGTTAACATGATCTGATATCAAAAGAGGATTGCACATAAAATGATGATTTGTAAAAGAAACACTGTAAAATAGTATACTAGTAATTCATAGTTGGATACTCACGGTTTACCTTACTTTAGTTCCAGAAAAAAGATTGATTTCAATATATTCATGTTTCTATTTTATCTCTGTTGTGAACTAATTTTAACAAATGAATGCGAGTCAAAATTTTTATAGGCTGATGTGACTTCCCTTTCCCATACCATCCTCGTTGAGATACACCCGCGCGCTAATCATAACCATATCTGAGGTTGTAAAAAATGGCTGACTAATCAATTAGAGAATTCTTCCTTGAACTGCATCTTGTCTTCTTGCTTAATCCTCCAACACCCTTATTAGTGTACTATGATAACGATCTGAAATCTCAGGTCCATTTTTGGCATCTGGTGAAGTTTGTTAAGATCCTGATTGGTCTTCAGCATACACCTACTGACCATTAGCGAGTCAATATTTTACAATAATACATGGATTTCTTTTTCTGTGACTTAAAGAGTAATGCACAAAAAGGCAAATGTTATTCTTGCCAACTGTTTAGGTTGGATGGGGCTTAAACTGGCAACGGTCGAATCAACTAAGATTATTGGAATACCACCACAATCTTAACGACATTAGATTTTATCATTTGGTCGTTATTTCTAAAGGTTTGAACAAAGTTGGAAAAATGTCCTTATTTACAGAACGAACACATAATTGTCTGACCAAGCTCTTTGTAATTTTATTGTAAAGTGTGACTTTGACCATGAGTCTGGAAAAAGATGCCATGGATTCTTACATCGCCTTGTTCAAATGGAAATTTAAGCAAAGTATGATGAAATAAGGGATACTAGTATGCGACTTATAGAGCGGACACTGTGGGGACGGACATAAAGACCAACTGATGGCTGCGCCAGTAATTCCAGTAAAGTCCACCACTACATTATATGCTGAAGGTATAATTGTACCAATAATAACAAACTTCACCGTTAATTTTATTATTTTTATTGCATTTAACAACAAGAAACATATTCACAACTGTCAACATACAATATATCACATATTACATTGTATCATCATCTTCATATTGACCACATTGTTGAACTGGTGTGTTAAATGTTTCATGTAAAAACATATTTTTTATACTTTATTTTGGTTTAATTATTTACAAATTTACAAACTATGAAATACTGGCATAAATTCCTGTTTGACATTGACATAAAATGAATAATTTACCAGTAATAAACGAAGTTGCTAAATTAATTCTAATAAATAACATGAAGTCTTTGAGCAACAGGTAAAACCTTAGACATATGAACTATAATAACTGAAGTAATCAGTTTGGGAACTAACTCAATGTTCCTGACATAAGCTAATCATTTTCGCTGATAGCGCTCCCTTGCTAAATGTTACATACTTATATTCTTGGACAAACTGTCTCAATACCAGGAAGTGTTAAAATATAAATAAACATAGCCTATTTATGATTTCTTCGATGGCTCAGTAGAATACCTTAACTTTATTCAACCCCATGAATGCGAATTAACACTTGCCTATATAACAAGTAAAGAGGGAGGTCAAAGTAAAAACTTAAGTGATTGGTGATCAAAATATATTAAAATTTCATTACTGCTTCATTTTAGTGTTTAGGTACAAAAATATCTCTACAATGAACTAATATAAATTCAAGGCAGGGAAGGTATATTTCACAAATTAAAAAAAAAATATAATGTTAAAGGCAACTAAAGTCTCAGAAATGACTACATTTTTCTTTCTGTTAAAAGGGCAATAAAATAGCCAATGAGTATCTCTTTGGGAAATGTAGCAGGAAACCAAAAAACCCAATGGTTCTAGGAAATGATATCATTAGCTTAAAGGACCTTTAAAATATCTGGCAACAAAGAAAATTATGAAAATGAATGACATATGTTCATTTATACTATATACCATCAAATAGGTGATTATATTGAGCTTTAGATTGACACAACAACACCCTGTTGACCACATCCGGTCAATAAATACGTCATAATAACAACAACAGTCTCAGCCTTATATTTGTCCCTCTATTTATCTCATGTACTACGTTTCGTTCATGTACACTACAAAAATAATCTTTTTTTGTTTGTTTATTTGGGTTTTATGTCACAGCAAAGGTCATATGGCGATGTTCCAGCTTTACTGTTGGAAGAGGAGCTCACGTGCCCTTCAGTGCATTATTTCACGCACGAATGGGTACCTGGGTAGAACTACTGACGTTCCGTAAGCTAGCTGGATAGCTTCCTCACATGAAAGAATCCAAAGTCCCTGTTGGGTTTCGAACCAACAGCAATGAGGGCCAAGTGATTTGATGTCAACGCACTCTGGCCACCGACATCCCAAAAATATAATTACTTGCAATGCAAAAATTAACCAATGTTAACTTAAAAATTGTAACATTTAAAGCATACATTATCAAATATTAGTACATCAGATGAATGGAGTACAGTAAACTGTATTTGAATTTTATAAATTAACAAATCCAATTACAAACAGTATATAACAATTATAGAAATAATACATACACTTATAATAAAATATTACATTTTTTAACATTTAAAAAAAATAACATTTGAAATTCATCCTCTTCATACATGTCAAATGTATGTAAATCACAACCATGTACATATGTATTTAAAAAAGATCAACAAGCTACTAATTTTGCAATATTTTATAACAATCTACAATATTCAACATATCATTTTGTTTCCCTAGCAATGAGAGCCATTATCAATTCCATAATGTAATAAAGGTGAATTTCTCTATTTATTTCCAATTATCTTAAATAATATATCATAGCCTAATATCATTCACCCGGGCCGTATTATGAAATTTTCATTTAACAAGTTATCTTCATTAAACATACATACTTGCGTTCTAAATCTGTTCATAAAGAACAAGGTGAAGGTCATGTCTCAGAATGAGGTATATATAGAAAGTTCTTATCATTTCATATAATTCTTTATTACTACTATATGTATAGTGATAATAATGCCAATCTCTCGCATATAACAATGTATTTTTTAAATATAACGTGATTATTTTCTTATAACAATTTTCAGCTACTTTCAGAATTAATTAGGCCTAGGCTAATTAAGAATTTTCTTGGTACATGTAATAAGTCTACTTCATGACTGACTTTAGTGTGAAGTCGCTTGTTTACCATGAAACATAATTATAACATAATATACATGTAACAATATTGTGACATCATTTTTGCAGATACTTTTCATTAGGAAATTGTTTGATTGGTTTTACAGCTCACCTACACAATTTGAGTCATAAGGCGCCTAAACAGGAAAGATGATTTTGGCTAACCTTGGATGTTACTAACTCAAAACAAACACCAGGGGTCAAAACCACCTCACCGGTTGGAGCTAAGAGATGCATACACTCCAGGAATTTGAACCCATTTAGCCGCCTCTAACATTCACTAACATTCGCGCAGGAAAACACTGTAGACTTCAAATCTGATGCCTCAACAGTTAAAGGCAACTCCTCAGTCACAAGGGGGTTTCATTAGGAAAAATGGCTTACTAAAGCAAGCACAAAATATGTTTATTTTCTAGTATATTTCTATGTGATTAGTTACAAGATTAAACAAATTTCACATTTGTTGTTAAATAATATGAAATTTTATTTTTACTCATCCAGAGACTCTTTACTAACTTGGTTATTGTACATTATATAGCAACTCATGCAAGATCTTATATATTCATTATAATGTACAAACTATGTATGAAATTAATTACATGTATGTCCTTCATTTAAAATTAGGATACGTCCCTTTCTTACTTTTACATTATAAAAATAAATTAACAAAAATGTTCTAAAATGTAATGGGACCAAAAAATATCTTTCTTTTAACAAAACTAGAAAAAGATTTAATAATAAAACTTAAAGGAAATATAAAAAAAAAGTAAAACATAACAATTTTATTCATATTCACAAAATATCTAAAATCATTCTGGAAACAGTTAATTAATAATTATCTACTAGTACACAAACTTTTCTACCTCCAACATGTCGAGGGAAAATATCTGTTTGAAAGTATGGGTTACCTTTCTGGACACACACAGAAAAACTGACATAAAATGACATGTAAATATCAATCAATCAATCAATCAATCAATCAATCAATAAGCCAACCAAACAACGAATCAATCAATCAATAAAACCTTGACTGCTCAGTCATTAAAACTCTATCAACCAAACAACCAATTAATGAATACATTTATTCTGTATCAATCAAAATTAATCAATCTAAATATCAAATATGTGAAAAAAAATAGCATTTAATAAAATATTAATGAACAATATATAACTATTAAAGCAATATCAAATGTCATGGTGAGTTACAGAACAAGATATGACATCAGATTATCACATACTTGAACATTACAATAATTGACTGAATGAATAACAAGGATTTTTTTTATTTCACATTTTATCCCACAAACGCAATAAGATTGTTATGTAAATGAAGATATTACATAACCATATGCCCCATAAACCACCCAGCCTAAATTTTATCTCTTTTCTTTACACTAGTTCATAGTAACAATACAGAAGCATAAAGTTTACATGAACTTTAATACCTTATCATTAATTAACTTAAAAGAGAGATATTAAAAAGGCTTCAAGAATTCAAGTCAATACACACTGAAGAATAATTCTCGTTAAAAATATTGCAAAGTACAAAAACAGAAAATGAAAACTTTATACAATGATAAAATGTTTCAAGAAAACATCTCCAGGGAAGTAATATCTAAACGAAAACTGGAATGTTTCTTTTACATAAAAAAAAGAAAGTAAATGTTTTGAACACATGTTATTTAGTAGGAAAAAGAATGAATTTATACATATGTAAAAACACTTAAAAATTTAAAAAAAAAAAAAAGATAGCCCTAAACTAACATCATAAGCAATTTGTATTTCTGTTCTGTTCTGTTCAGAGTATTCAGAAGTTAAATTTAGCCAATTTATTTTGTGTAGTCTTTAATTCATTTCCCCTTAACTTGCTGAGTTTGTTAACTTGAATTGCCAAGCTTCAATTGTCTGAACCGGCAATCAAATTTAATTAAATATAAAAATTAATTTCTCAATATAAAGTTTCATTTATTTTGTTTAAGATGAATTACTTACTTAAACATAATTAACAAGTAAAACATGACTTGTTATCTTTTTAAATTTACTTTCACATACAATATTTATTAAAATATAAAACTGTTGACTTCAAAAGTATATAAAATACCAGTTAAAGGGAGATACAGGCAAAATTTCAATTTGTTTGTTTTTAATTTTTCATTTATTATGATGTTAATGTCCTCAAAATGAATACACTAGACAGTCACTGGAACAAAACTTTTCTCCTTATAACAAATAAAGTGGTGGTTTCCTAATGTGACCCGCATGGGTCAGGTTAGAGCGTTTCATTTCACAATAGTTGTCACAGTGAGTTGTGGAAACATTCAATGTCAAATGAATGGCTTTCACTTGTTTTGATCATACAATATCCACAATGTCTGTTGTTGTAACTCCCAAAGTTTGTTCAAGTCACATAACTTGTTTTAAAACTGCTTGGCGATTCTGTCGGTGTTTAAATTTCATTCAAAACATATAGGTATATTTACGCTTCAAACCCAAAATATATAGAATTTATACAGAAATTCATGCTGGGACATTAAAAAATATCATTTCAGATTGATTTGAGTACATAAACTCATTTTAATATTTTTGTCAATAATTTGCCTGTTTATCCCTTTAAAGATGAACATTTAGTTTGGGGGAAGTCAAAATGATGCCTTCTTTTAAATAAATATTATAAACATTATCTGATATCAAAGGAGAATTGCACATAAAATGATGATTTGTGAAAGAAACACTGTAAAATAGTATAATTCATTGTTGGATACTCACGATTGATTAACATGTAATCAAGCTGTGGGTAAAATAAATCAATTTGCGTCAATATACAGCAACAGGTGCTTGAAATAATAACCAATGAAATCGCATTTAATATAATTTATATTCTTCAATGGCAAGTAAAGACTATCAGTAACAGTAAATTTGCTATGTGTTTTTGCTGGAAATCATTGGCATTTTTAATACTGAACAAACTTTTCACAGCTGAATTTTATTGGTTGCGGAAATTTTGTCTGTTATACGGAATGTTGTATAGAACAAGCATTTTGATTTGTTTCAATCTCCTCATCAAATTGTAAGGCAACAAATGAAACAGATGTCTTTGACACACCCCTTATTGACTGGAAATTGTTAGAAAATCCCACAGCTGATAAATGTAAGGCAGTGGGTATCCAACAATGATTACCAGTAAGAACATTCATAATTTACAGATTTATACAAGTACGGTATACAAGTATGGAATATAAAATAAATTAGTCCATTTCTTCATAACTGACTTTCTTGCGTTTGTTTGGAGATTCATCATCATCATCATCATCGTCGTCATCATCACTGTCTAGTTTATGCTTTATTCCTGTAAGAATACTCAACGGCACCTGCAAAAACACAAATACATATATAGTTACCAGTTTAAACAAGATATGTTTGTAAAACATGTATGCCCCCTGTCGGCAGCCAATTTGTCATGTGATCAGGTTATTATGCATGACTTCTGACCCAGTGAACAAGCAATTAATAAGGGTTATCTAGTATCTACTGGTCATGACTAGTCACAAGGTTGTGTGCAGCAATTAAAGTTATTTAAAATCTTACCAAATAATATATACAAAAATTTTATGAATCACATAGGCCTTATTAATGACAGCCAAGTTGTTATATTACATAAGACCTTCAATTGTGTATACCAAAAGCACATAAAAATATCAACCTAGGCAACTTGAGTTGTTGAGTAATTGGTCAGAAACAGTCATTAAGTACAAGGTCACTATGACATTGACCCCTTGACCCCAAAATCAATAGGGATCATCTACTGGTCATGACCAATTATCATACCAAGTTTGACGGTCCTAGGCCTAAGGGTTCTTTAGTTATTGATCGGAAACCGTTTTTACCTAAAAGGTCAATGTGACCTTGACCTTTGACTCCGAAATCAATAGGGGTCATATGCTGGTCATGACCAATCATCATACCAAGTTTGAAATTCCTAGGCCTAAGCGTTCTTTAGTTATTTATCAGAAACCGTTTTTTTACCTACAAGGTCAATGTGACCTTGACCTTTGACCCCAATATCAATAGGGGTCATCTGCTGGTCATGACCAATCATCTTAACAAGTTTGAAGTCTCTAGGCCTAAGGGTTCTTTAGCTATTGATCGGAAACTGTTTTTCACCTACAAGGTCAATGTGACCTTAACCTTTGACCCCTTGACCCCAAAATCTATAGGGGTCATCTGCTGGTCATGACCAATCACCATACCAAGTTTGAAGTTCCTAGGCCTGAGGGTTCTTAAGTTATTGATCAGAAACCATTTTTACCTACAAGGTCAATGTGACCTTGTCCTTTGACCCCTTGACCCCAAAATCAATAGGGGTCATCTGCTGGACATGACCAATCATCTTACCAAGTTTGAAGTCTCTTGGCCTAAGGGTTCTTTAGTTATTGATCGGAAACCGTTTTTACCTACAAGGTCAATGTGACCTTGACCTGTGACCCCTTGACCCGAAAATCAATAGGGGTCATTTGCTGGTCATGATCAATCACCATTTCAAGTTTGTAGATCCTAGGCCTTAGCGTTCTTTAGTTATTGATCGGAAACCGTTTTAACATACAAGGTCAATGTGACCTTGACCTTTGACCCCAAAATCAATAGGGGTTATCTACTGGTCATGACCAATCACTATATCAAGTTTGAAGATCCTAGGCCTATGCGTTCTTTAGTTATTGATCGGAAACAGTTTTAAAATACAAGGTCAATGTGACCTTGACCTTTGACCCCTTGACCCCAAAATCAATAGGGGTCATCTGCTTGTCATGACCAATCATCTTACCAAGTTTGAAGTCTCTAGGCCTAAGAGTTCTTTAGTTATTGATCGGAAACTGTTTTTACCTACAAGGTCAACGTGACCTTGACCTGTGACCCCTTGACCCCAAAATCAGTAGGGGTCATCTGCTGGTCATGACCAATCACCATATCAAGTTTGAAGATCCTAGGCCTAAGCGTTCTTTAGTTATTGATCGGAAACCGTTTTAACATACAAGGTCAATGTGACCTTGACCTTTGACCCCTTGACCCCAAAATCAATAGGGGTCATCTACTGGTCATGACCAATCACCATACCAAGTTTGAAGTTCTTAGGCCTAAGGGTTCTTTAGTTATCACTCAGAAACCATTTGGTCTACGGACCGACGGACCGACAAGTGCAAAGCAATATACCCCCTCTTCTTCAAAGTGGGGGCATAATTATTAGACTGATCTTAAACTTAATTAGGTTCATTTAATGCATTTCTAATTTCAATAGAGGGCTTTCATGACCAAATGATAAAAAAAACAACTGATTTTGACGAAATGTGTTATCTTGTAAGAACATCATTCAAACTACACTTTACCCTGGTGCGAGTTCATCCAAGTTAAAACAGGAATAGAGCCATTAAATGCAGGAACAGCTTTTCTAATACAGAAAGAGAATGGTAAAATGCAGGCTGGTTAAATGCATGACAGACTGGTTAAATGCATCAACAGATTGGTAAATTGTAGGAACATACTAGTAAACAAACTCCTCACAGTGATAACGTCCCTTGGCATAATTATAATCACTGCCTTCAAAGACGTCACATGATGATGAAAGTCACATGACGTAACTACGAAATTCAAATGTAAATATCGACCCTTACATAGAAAATCTAACGTCATTTTTCTCTTTCTGTTTTATTTTTAACTTTTAGTGCCTACGTTCGATATAGTTTATCAAACAAGAGCTGTCGGTAGGACAGCAACGCTCGACTATTCTTAGTGTTTGATAGTAAAAAAAAAAATGCTTGATACAATTACCTCCTCCTGTACACAGGTTGGGGTTATGATGGTGAACAAGTGTGCAAAGTTTCAAAGCCATATGTCAATGGACTTTGAAAATATTTGAACTATTACAAAAACTTTAACATAAGTGGTTACGCCGATGCGGACGCCGACACTGACGCCGACGCTCGGGTGACTACGATAGCTTTACTTATTCTTATCAAATAGTCGAGCTAAAAATTATCAAAGGTATACAATATAACGTAAAATAAATTCGAAAGCTAAAAAATATAAAATATCAAAATATTGTCTCGTAGAAAATATTCTCATAATTTTTAAAATTATTTCTAAATATTCATATCATTTATTTATTTATTCATAAACATTGTTAAATAAATGAAAAAGAACTTATCTAATAGATAAAAGCAGTAGATAAAACAACTTTTGAAAAAAATATAGTATATCAGAAATTCTGATATATCAAACCTTGGTGGCAGAGATCTACGCCGAAGAATTAAGGAGAGATCATTGTGTGGAGATTGATTGGTAAAATGCATCAACAGACTGGTTAAATGCAGTAACAGACTGCTTAAATGCATCAACAGACTGGTTAAATGCATCAACAGACTGGTTAAATGCATCAACCGACCAGATAAATGCATCAACAGACTGGTTAAATGCAGTAACAGACTACTTAAATGCATCAACAGACTGGTTAAATGCATCAACAGACTGGTTAAATGCATCAACTGACTGGTTAAATGCATCAACTGACTGGTTAAATGCATCAACAGACTGGTTAAATGCATCAACAGACTGGTTAAATGCATCAACAGACTGGTTAAATGCATCAACCGACCAGATAAATGCATCAACAGACTGGTTAAATGCAGTAACAGACTACTTAAATGCATCAACAGACTGGTTAAATGCATCAACAGACTGGTTTAATGCATCAACAGACTGGTTAAATGCATCAACTGACCAGATAAATGCATCAACAGACTGGTTAAACGAGTAAGCGACTACTTAAATGCATCAACAGACTGGTTAAATGCATCAACAGACTGGTTAAATGCATCAACCGACCAGATAAATGCATCAACAGACTGGCCAAATGCAGTAACAGACTACTTAAATGCATCAACAGACTGGATAAATGCATCAACAGACTGGTTAAATGCATCATCTGACTGGATTAATGCAGAAACAGACTGGCCAAATACAGGAACAGACTACTTAATGCAGGAACAGACTGGTTAAATGCAGTAACAGACTGGTTAAATGCAGACACAGACTGGTTAAATGCGGACACAGACTGGTTAACTGCATTAACTGACAGGATAAATGCAGAAACAGACTAATAAAATGCAGGAACAGACATGTATGATGTTAAATGCATCAACAGACTGGTTTAATGCAGAAACAGACTGGTTAAATGCAGGGCAGACTGGTTAAATGCAGTAACAGACTGGTTAAATGCATCAACAGACTGGATAATTGCATTAACTGACAGGATATATGCAGAAACAGACTAGTTAAATGCAGGAACAGACAGGTTAAATGCATCAACAGACTGGTTAAATGCAGGAACATACTGGTAAAATACTTCAACATACTAGTAAAATACATGAACATAATGGTAAAATGCAGAAACAAACTGGTTAAATGCAGAAACATGGTTTTATGCAGGAACAGTCTGGTTAAATGCAGGGCAGACTGGTTAAATGCATCAACAGACTGGTTAATTGCATTAACTGACAGGATAATTGCAGAAAGCAGATGGGTAATTGCCGAAAAAAAGACTAGTTAAAAGCACCAAGAGACCAGTCAAATGCGGGAATAAAGTGGTTAAATGTAGCAACAGACCACTAAAATGAAGGAATATATCATGCAGGAAAAGACCAGAACAAATGAATCTTGTACCTGTATGGTATCATTAGACTCCTGGGAGACTTGTGTAGCCTCATTTTCAACTTCTGTTAAAGCCTGATCCAATGCTTGTACTGCAGTGCGTGCGTTGTCACATGTAAAACACATCGGAGGCTGGAAAATGATTACATTTTTATCTGGCCCCTCATTTGATGTGATAACCTTCCTCTCCTTCAGTCTGTAAGCATAAAACAGTTGCATTTGTGATAGTCAATTTTGATAAATCCATTATATTCATATCTTTACCTAGGGGCATAACTACTGTGTTTATGTTAAAGCATAACTTAACCACAGATACCGGGTAATCAATTTTACATACTATGTAACAATTACTATATAGTTAGCTTATCTTTGTCAAATACTATATACAAAATATAGTACTTTATTGAGGTCGGTTTTGAATTTTCACTGTAAGAGACATTGCAATCACCCAGTTTTACTGAGGAAGGACTTACAAGGGTGTCCATACATGCATTATCAGATGGACAGGTGGGTTGCTAAGTTAAACCAGAAAGCTTTTGTGACTTTGTTGTGAACTCTTTTGCTTTAACACAGGTGAATGATAAGTAATAAAATTCAAAGATTTTTTTCCATTTTCCAAACTTCTTTCCAAGGTAACACATTAATATCATTTTCCATTTTTATATTTCATAAGAAAGATATCTACACATAAGCATAGTTATGTGGCTATTCTTGACAAGAACAAATATAATCTGGTCCAGGCAATTAAATAGAAGATATTGAGTGGAGGTTTGATACTAAATTTTTTGAACGAGTTGTGCAAAATCATATTATGCGAGCCTCTGGTGAGCATAATATTGTTTTATGCATGGAGTTCAATAAGTTTAGTATTGAATCTACACAAATGCAATATTCTGTCTATCACATATACAAAATTACAACAGTTAATAGTAACAAAGAGCCATTATTTCATTTACGCAAAAAGTGGTCTACAGTGTAACACTGACATTAACATGCTTTAATGATATGTTTTTATATATAATACAAATGACGTCACTATTGTAATATCGTTTTTATTACATGGCCTAATTTCACTCCTGCGCTGTAGTTTATGTGATAAACAAAGAAACAAATAAATAAATTCATCATATCAAACTTTTTCTTGTTTTGACAACTCCGGAGATTCAGTCACTATTTTTTTTTCTTGAAACCTCACATCACAGATATTTCAAATAATCCTCTTCTAAACTGGTAGGTCAATATAAGTATACATACTTGTAAACAAGAAGTTCTGCAGCATCTTTGTTAGGTTTTCTGCTCTCTTTATCTATCACTATCTCAACACCCATTAACATCCCAATACCTCTGAAATATACATGTATCAATACAGTATTACAAATACATGATATACTGGATATTGATGATCAATCCTAAATTTATTGAACAAGTTGAATACATGTATTATCATTTTATGTGTGGCCATGGCTAGCAATATATTATTTTATTTAACATGTCCAATATTAATCTTGTAATGCCCTTCACAAATATAATATTCTATCTATCACATACCTAATAAAGAACCATTTTTCAAATTACCTATGATGTAATGCTTATACATGTATATAGGGCGTTTAAAAGCTATGTTCGTATAATGCAAGTGATATTATGTCAAAATATATGCACTGCCGTACAAAAACATTTTAAACTTAGTTGCAAAACCAGCATGGCTATGTGATAAAATCAAATACAATTTTTAATAAAATCAGAAAATCATCTATTGTACAATTACATTTTCTAACCGTTCTGTTTCCACTTGTCTTCAAATCATTGTTTTAATATGAGCTGCGTCATGACAAAACCAACATAATGGCTTTGCGACCAGCATGGATCCAGACCAGCCTGCGCATCCGCGCAGTCTGATCAGGATCCATGCTGTTCGCTTACAAACTCTATTACAAGTAGAGAAACTGATAGCGAACAGCATGGATCCTGATCAGACTGCGCGGATGCGCAGGCTGGTCTGGATCCATGCTGGTCACAAAGCCATTATGTTGGTTTTGTCGTGACGCGGCTCATATAGTTTGCAAATTGCAGGTACAGGTGTATCCTTATGTTTTTTCATTATATTGTATGTTGTTCATTTTATATGAATGCATTTGACACATATCAATAATTACTAACTTACTCCCTTACAGATCCTACAACACAATTTTTTTTATGTTTTTTTTATCATTAATTTGATGCTCAAATTTAAGGACCTTTTAAAATCAAAGTGCTGAAGGCACTGCAGTTGGGACGTATGAAGGATCAAATAACTATTTTTTCTATTTCGGGGCAGATAATTCAATGAGTGAAGGGTGTTGCCGGTTGATAAATATAAAGTGCACAATTCAGTAAATGAACAGTAGTTGATACAACAATTATTCTATGACACACATGTTCAAATATAGTATTTAGGTTACATGTACGTGTAGGTCGATCATAAACCGTTATTTGACACAAGACTTCTGCTCACTAGTCTCTACAACTGTATTTAGTTTGAGTGTGATATCATTGAAAAGATTTACTCCAGACAACCATTATTTTAAAAGTTGTTGAACATGTATTTTAAGAGATGATAATTGAAAAATTAAGCTAGAAACTAGAACTCCGCGAGTCGGATGTGTCACCTTGTGAACAATGTAGTTTAGGAGAAATGGCCAGGACAAAAATGAAATATGAAAAAATAACAAAAGGCAGTAACTAAAAAAATAATAAGTTCAGAGCAGCAGTTTCTGAACACTGCACTTCTTATCAATAAGATCTATCATACTATGATGGTTCAAGTCCATAGCTTTCATACTTGAGGAGAAATGACCAGGACAAAAATAAAGAAAGAAAATCAACAAAGGGCAATAACTCAAAAAATAAGAAATGCAGAGTACCAGTTCTTGTGCACTGCACTTCTTAATGAGATCTATCATCCTATGAAGTTTCGAGTCCATAGCTTTTTATACTTAAGGAGAAATGCCCGGACAAAATTAAAGTATGAAAATAAACAAAGGGCAATAAACCTCAAAAAATAAGAACTGCAGAGTAAACAGTTCTTGTGCACTGCACTTCTCTTAACGAGACCTATCATCCTATGAAGTTTCAAGTCCATGGCTTTTATTCATTAGGAGAAATGCCCGGACAAAAATAAATATGAAAATTAAAAAGGGCAATAACTCAAAAAATTAGGAAGTACAGAGTACTGGTTCTTGTGCACTGTTACTTCTTCTTAATGAGATCTATCATCCTATGAAGTATCAAAGTCCATAGCTTTTTTTAGTTGAAGAGAAATGGCCCGGACAAAATTAAAGTATGAAATTAACAAAGGGCAATAACTCAAAAAATAAGAACTGCAGAGTACCGGTCCTTGTGCACTGCACTTCGGGTTATTAAAAGAAGCATGCATACCAAGTTTGAAGTCAATCAGACTTATAGTGACTGAGTTATGCTCCGGACAAGCTTTAGGGACGCCGACAATGACACCGCCGACAAAAGTAACCCCTATTAATGTCACCTTTCAAGGCGACACAAAAAATTAGGGTTCTTTTGAAAAAAAGCACTTTCTTTCACTTGATTATTTTCGCTGTGTAAAAGTTTAATCAAATTTCATCAACTCTTTTCCAGTATTTCTCTGGAACAAGCATAATTAAGTACATGTATAATAAAGTAATAATTAAATAAGAGGGCCATGATGGCTCTGAGGTTGCTCACCTGTATATACCCCCCCCCCCCCACCCTGCAGGGCCCAGTTTTAAACCCAAGGGCTTTTATTTGAACAAACTTGAAGACATCCATAAGAAGATGATTCATGCTAAACATCAAAGCTCTAGTTTATTGGGTTTTTTTAAAAGAAGATTTTTTAAGTTTTTACTAACACATACTGTTAAAACAATGACAACCCTGGAGCAGGGCCAGTTTTAACCCCAGGGCTTTTATTTTGAACAAACTTTGTAGACACTCACTAGAAGATGTTTCCACTTATAATATAAACTCTAGCTATTTGGGTTCTTTAAAAAAGATTTTGAAGTTTTTACTATATGCATATAGGGAAGAAAATCAATGATCCCCTGGGGCAGGGCCAATTTTGACCCCAGGGCTTTTATTTGAACAAACTTGGTAGACACTCATTAGAAGATGTTCATGCTAAATATCTTAGCTCTAGCTCTTTGGGTTCTTTAAAAGAAGATTTTTAAGTTTTTACTATTTGCATTTAAAGAAAATTAATGACCCCCTGGGGCAGGACCAATTTTGACCCCAGGGCTTTTATTTTAACAATCTTTTAAAACACTCACTAGAAATATTTCATGCTAAATATCTTAGCTCTAGCTCTTTTAGTTCCTTAAAAGAAGATTTTTTTAAGTTTTTACTATATGCATTTAAAGAAAATTAATGACCCACTGGGGCAGGACCAATTTTGACCCGGGCCTTTTATTTTGAACAAACTTGGTAAACACTCATTAGATGATGTTTCATGCTTAATATCTTAGCTCTAGCTCTATGGTTCTTTAAAAAAGATTTTATAAAGTTTTTTACTATATGCACATAGGGATAATCAATGACCCCCTGGGGCGGGGCCAATTTTGACCCCAGGGCTTTTAATTAAAAAAACTTGGTAGACACTCACTAAAGGATGTTTCGAGCCAAATATCTAAGCTCTAGCTCTTAGGGTTTTTTTAAAGATGATATTTAAAGTTTTTTTCTTTCGGTTCCCATGGCAACCAGAGTTCAGCATGGAATTAAATTCTTTGCACAATTTTTAAAGGTGACAGCCAAAGGAACATTCTTGTGAAGTTTGGATGAAATTAGCGTAGTGGTTTATGAGGAGATGTCATTTAAAGTAAATGTTTACGGCCGGACGAAAAGGATCACAAAAGCTTGACCTGTCACTTTGTGACAGGTGAGCTAAAAACTAAGGAATGGAGTTATGGTTCTTTGACACATTGGAAAATTCGAGTCGTTCAAGTTGATGTAGATTCATTGATAGTTTGGAATAAGCATTTTTAACTTAAGGGATATAATTAAAACATGAAGCAAGGTAGAGTTATGTTTCTTGAACATTGCACTTCCTCTTAAAAGTCTCTATCACTTTGTGGAGTTTACATAAAAATCCCTTCAATACATATCTAGTTATATTCATATTCGGACAAGAGTGTGAAGGACAAATGTCTTCCTAAGTACAGACTATGTTTTTTTTCCTTTATCAACTAAAATCTCAAAAACACCATTAAAAACATATTTTCCTCCCATGAGGAACCTTTTTCCCAAAAGTACAAGTCTGTATGGAATGAACACAGATATTTATCCAGAATATTACTTGAGTCCATACCGACAGATGGTTAAGACCGCAACTATATTCTCTCCCTTTCAGGAGCATAAATTATAATAACATGCTTAAATCTCTGTATAGTTCTATATCAGATACCAGTATGATGAACCTTACTTTTGTACCATTTAAGTTATAGCAAAATTCAGCTTTTTCATTGACATACAGAAATGGGTCAGCCTTTAGTCCCCTCTTAATGAAAATAGAAGGGACTAAAAAACAACAATTTATTCTCATAGTTTCAATTCTCAGGTTTATTACTTATCATTACACCAGGCAAGCTAAGATACATGTTAAAACCACAGGCACTATATACCACATTTACCCATATACGCTCATAATACTATAATATAAAGAATAAAGGTCCCTAACGAGAGAAAAAATATCATGCAAAACAAACAAGAACTGTTCGGTAAAAATACACCAGATCACTATTTTATCTTTGTGGTTGTCTCTAGGAATAATGTATCCTATCATAAACACTTTTTACTTCATCGAAAAATCCTACAAAATGCTCCAAAATACGAGCAAGTTTCCAAATTTCACTGAAATGTCATTGCATGTCGTTTTCGACGTCCAAGCGATGCGTGTAAACAAAGGTGAATTCTGGTCAATTTCTACAAAAATCAACCAATAACTGTTAAGATTTCGACATACTTTCTTTAAGGCAACTTGTATAGTTTACAGTCAAACTGCGATGTCTAAATTTACTTCACAACTGTCCGACGATAAACACTAACAAGCTAAAAAATTAAAAATAATTGACAGCTCCGTTCCAGAAAGTAACCATTTCCTACATTACCGCACTGATATAAGGGGTAAATAATGATTGGTTAAGCGGAAAATCCCGAGTTTTAACATTTTCCTTCAACACCAATGTTCATGACTGGCCTTTACTATTGACAGGGATTCAATTCAGACTAGCCCTCTAAAATACTCCCAACTAGTCCAAAGTGTTAATGGTGCCTATACAGTTATGATCACTACATCTGGAAACTGGAGATTCCCACCAAGTGTGATGCTTATCTTCATTCGCTTGACAGTGACACATGTCCACCTTAAAAAAAAGCAATAAAAATTATATGAAGTGCAATAATTTGCAAAAAAATGCTTATCTTATTTGTCTCTTCTTACATTTATAATGCAGAGCACTAGATTTGTGTGTCTGTCATAGAAAATGACTTTCAATAATACTATTTAAATATATTTGAAATACAATTTCTTTAATAAATATTCATAGTAATACTAAATTCCTTTTTTGTGAATTTTTTTCTGACACATATGTGCTGACAGTAATTTGTGTACACCGGTCTTACTGACCTGTGTGAAACCATTCTAAGCATTATGCCAAGAAAATTTTGGACTTGTGAGAGGCTGTAAATGACCCCAGATTGATCATAAGGTAACGTGTAACCAACGCTGAAAAGCATTTGACTATATCTCATTCCATTGAGAAGTGGCATCACTTTGAAATCAATTTTGATTGAAAAAATCGAGGCAAAATAGTGATTTTGGGCAATTTTGAGATGTCCCCTCGTTGCCATGGTAACAGAAAATTTAAGCCTGAGCATGTTGTTGCAAGGTCAATGGTCCAGTCAACATTTGTGCCAAGTTTGATTAGTGTTGAAGCTGTTTTTATAGTATTATAGCAATTTGAACTTGTAACGGGAGACTTTTCAATGAAAACAGCAATTTTTCACAAAAATGCTCATGAAGTAATGGGTTAGAAAGTTTGCATCTTGATTGGGAAAAATATTTAGTACCATGTACAAAGTTGTTAATCCAACAAATTGTGTATCATTCAAAGCATAAAAAATACATAAAAAATTGACAATGGAATGTGTTTTTGAACATCATCTGTCTGGTACCATATTGGATTGAAATGGAATGAAGAAAAATTGTCAGCTTTGATAACGGCACGGATTTACATTACATGTAATATAAATCCGTGATAACGGGAATTTTGACTTATGATTTTTTTCTAAACTTGGAAAAGAAAAAAAGCATATTTGGCAGTATTTGCCACTGGGAATGGGTCTGTTAATCTGACCCATGGTGACACTGGTAAAAATGCATGTTTTCATTAATTTTTTTTTGGAAAACAGTTTGGTTTGTGAAATATACATTAAATATTATATAAGTACCTGTTGTTTGTAATAATCTTCTAGTCTTTCTTTAATCTTTATACTGTACTTTTTTCTAGCTACATGTACCAGCCTTTCCAAGTGAATATTAAAGTAAATAATCTTTTATTTCCCTGAAAATAATCAATTTAGAGATTTCATTTTCAAAATCATCCAATACTACTCTCTTAGTGTGTGTATATACAGAGACATATAAATACATTTTATGTATTTTAACGTCTCTAGTATAACAATGTATATATGTGTCTATACAATGTATATATATGTTTACACTATAAATATATTGTTGTTCAGCATGTAATGACATAATTAAAATTTGAAAAAATATGATTAAAATATTAATAATATTTCTTCATATTACTCCACAGTATTACCACTAAAAGAGAAAAATGTTCTATCCAATTTTATTATGATATCTATTTTTTACATGTAGATTTGTGAAAAAAAATGTGAATATCAGTAAGTGTCAAAAAATTGTTAAATCATATAAAATGTCTAATAAACCACCGATAAATTACTTCACCATGTATTTGAGAACAGGTATAGATCATTTCCAAACAGTCTTGCTGTTGTGTTGACATTTTCGCGACATGGTTTGTGTGTCTGCCTTGTAATCAAGAGGTCTGGCGGTTCAAATCCCTTTTACTGTAAGTGCCTGAAGATTTTTTTCAGGTTAACCAATTATCAAGGAAATTTCAAGGTGGCAGTGATTTTTTTTCAACTTTCAAAACAACCTGTGCTTTATAAATGGGAAACTATAGCTTGATTAATCAGAAAAGAGGAAAAATTTCAACCACTGAAAATGGAATTTGCCCATACATTTAAAAAAAGTGTAAATTCAATTTAAACGGGTTCCATTGAGGTATTTTGTCATGATGGGACTGAAATATTTTTTCCGAGATAAATGTACCAATTTGATGAATGTTTAAGACACTAATCTTTGTACAAACCTTTTAGATCATTTGCGCACTTTCTTTTTCCAGAATAATTATTCAAAATTGTAAAAAGATGACCCAAAATGAAATGGCTAGACTTTTAAATAGATCAATATATATAATAATTTATAAAGGCAAAATAAAAATATTCTGAAATATTCAAGGAATTGCTCCATTTGGCCATAGGCCCTGGGCCAGGTGTGAAATTTGCGTTGAAGATGTGCCAAATTGACCTCTTTACACACCAATCTTTCCTAATAAATACTATATTCCAATTAAAAATTCCAATTTCAAAAACAGTCCATAATATGCTATAGTTATAGGAAGTGGCTAGCCGTACGGGCCCGTACGGCTAGCCAAAAGTTCTAGCCGTACGTGAGTCACGTACGACTAGCCCTGGACACACTGTTTTGCTAGCCGTACGGCACTTTTTTCAAAATTATATGGAAGTCGAAAAAGTGCATATGTTATTTTGTGTCTTTAAAACGACGATTTTAATCAAATCTCCGCATTTGTGTCCTAGTGTGTTCACTTTAATAAAGATGCTCCGCAATTTTGCAAAAAAAAAAAAAAAAAAAAAAAAAAAATGAATACGAGTAAGCGTTGTATAAAATCTATCTTAATTGTCATGCTTATGATTTGTATGAAAGATGAATTGTTAAATCTGTAAATTAAGCACATGGGTCGAATAAATAATGATCGGAGGGGAATAAATAAATAAATAAATAAATAAATAAATAAATAAATAAAAAGAATATTAAAAAAAAAAAACGGTGAAAAGGAAATAATAATTTAATAATGCAAACTTTCCTTACTGAAGCCAACACGTCGATTAATCTCTAAAAAGTAAACATTCTTGACTAAAATCCTCGCTTAAAGTCATAATTAACATATGTACTTTCGCCTTCCATATATTTTTGAAAAGTGCCGTACGGCTAGCCAATACAGTGTGTCCAGGCTAGTCGTACGTGACTCACGTACGGCTAGAACTTTTGGCTAGCCGTACGGGCCCGTACGGCTAGCCACTTCCTATAACTATAGCATATTATGGACTGTTTTTGAAATTGGAATTTTTAATTGGAATATAGTATATTAGGAAGATTGGTGTGTAAAGAGGTCAATTTAGCACATCTTCAACGCAAATTTCACACTGGCCCAGGCTATGGTCTAAGTATGATCGAAATGTCTTGGGTACGAAAGACTCGAGATCTCCAAATTACTTCGAAATTATTTACGAAAGTTTTAGTTTTCGGAAACAAATTGGCATCAATAAATAAACTTAATATTATTAGTCATCAAATTCATAACATATTTTGCTTTATAACATACCTTATGAGCTTAACAGGCTGATAATTATGCTCGTGAAGTAGGTCGAAAAATATACCGGATGTTGTCGGATTCATTTAAACCTAATTATCGGCTAATTCAGAGACGAATAGATTATTCTACATCTCTGGTAATTCTATTTCAATATCCACTTTGCAATTATAAACTACAACATTTATCCGATAAATAATGTCTTTTTCAAAAATTCTGGAATATAATACAAAAAAATGTGATGTTAAGGCGGATGAGTAAGTTAAAATATTGCAAGCCGTCAAGCACTATGACCCAATTAATTTACTATTCCCATTCATAGAATTATGTGACCTTTCAAATTATATCCGCTACGTTTCTAATACCGTAATTCAAGTTCAATTGCACATTATTTTCAAAAAATAAATTTTCTTGCTCCACTTCTGTTCGCAATAATCGAAGTTTTCAGAAATTCAGAGCACTATTTTTCACTCGCGGCGGTTATGCGTCGGTCATGGTCGGGTGATCACTATGAATTCAGCTTACGTTGATATGTTAGAATACAATATAGCATTTAGAGTGGCGATGAAACGTCACAGCAGTGGGCGTTACCCTGTATGGTTGGAAATTTCGGGTTTGTAAGTGCACTAGTTGGGACTACGTCCCAACTAAAAAGGGACTCAAATTTAAGCACTTTTTAGGACTGTATAAACAATATCCTACTGAATTTGTACATATTTTGAACCTTCCTTAAAACTGATGGATAGTTTTAACCATTTTGAAAGATGGGTGAGTCCATTTAATATATTTAGGTGTGCTTTGGGTGCTTAAGGTACAAAAAATAGCACAACTTACCTGACATCCCCCATCATTCTGTGATTATCAATGATTGCCTTAAATCCCTGAATCAGACACTTGCCAACCGACTTGGCACTAGACAGTAACTGTTCATTCTTTATTACATCTAGTACAGCCATCCCCATAGAACAGGCAACTGGATTCCCTCCAAACTATAAATTATGTAAATAATATTTATGATATAACGTGTTTTTTGACATTTTAAATTACAATTGAAAAAGTTAACATTAAAACCCTCAAGAATGAATTCACTTTTGGAAAGAAAAAGAAAACAGCTTGCTACTCTTATAATTGATTGAGAACATTTAGAACGTGCCAAATGCTTATCACCTCAATAACACTGAATACATTAATTTGTGTCATAAAGGTAGAAAATGTAAACAAAATGACATTTTAACTTCCATACAAAAATGCCATATCAAATTCCAAGTCATTATAAAGTACTAATTGCCAAAAAGCAAATGAAGCAAAGGATGGTTCAACATGTAGCTGATAGGAAACTTATTTGATAAACAGGGCGCCAAAAATGTTTTGCATTTTTGGGGCTTAATGGGCCTTTAGCAGTATAACAAAAGCATAGTACAGATATATATATAAATATTTAAGACAAATAAATCAATAAGAATTATTGCTATCTGGCACATTAAATTGACAAACGTCATAATAACAATTAAAATACACAGTCGAACTTTGTTCGCTCAAACTCGGAGGGCCTGTGCAATTTGTTTGAGAGATCAATAGTTTGAGCCAACCAAGGTTGAACTATTGTTACATAGAACATAGGCCTAAAGGTTTTCCAGCTTACATATACATCAATGTAAGTTTGTTAGTACATGTGTTTGTTGAATAAGTCATATTAAGAATTATTATCCCAGTGTTTTCAAATAAGTATTAACGTTCCGTACTTTGTGTTAATCTATATTTATGCATATTGTAATCGTTTAGTTTAAACTTTATTAGTTTAAACTTTATTTATTCAATAAATTGTACATAAATGACATTTACAAACATTGCATAACAATGTAATTCAGACTGGATTGGAAAACAAGTAAAACAATACTTATATCAATTCCAAAAAAAAATTCATGTTACATGAACCATGGTTGTAATTAAAGCCGTCCGGGTACAAGTCAGTCTTTATTTACTTTTGCACATTTCACTAATTTCATGTTTTATTTTGTTTTTATAGTTACCATTAGCGGCAAATAAATAATATTATCATAACAAACATATCGGTTACAACACCGTTTTTGTATCATTAACCTTAATTGCCTTTGTCACGATCATGAGGTGTTAAAAACATGTGTCGCCGACTGTCATTTATTTAGTACATGTTGACCCTCAACTTGTGTTGTCTTTTAGTGTTTGACCCAAAAGGTGTGATTTACACTATTTATCAAGTTCAAGCGATCGGTGTTCGAGCGATCCGAGGTAGAACAATATATATTATATAGTAATTTTGCTGGGATTGGGAGATGAGTTTGAGCGAAGGGAGGTATTCAAACCATCCGAGTTCAAGCGAACAATGTTTAACTGTATACCAATCCCGAGAAAATGTCAATTTTTAACATAATGTTAAATGAATATCACCTTTCTGCATGCTTAATAAATGAAAAATAAAAATATCTTTACATACTGAAAATAGATCATATCTTATATATATATATACATTGAATTTTGGTGTAGAATATACTTACTGTACTACTGAACTCCTTTAAAGAGTCTGAGATTTCCTTCGTTGTGATGACAATTGACATAGGATGTCCATTTCCTATTGGTTTTCCTAGAGTGATAATATCTGGGACTACATCTGTAAGCAAAAAGAATAAACAAAATCTTTGACAAAAATAAAAATTCTTCATCATTTCAAAAATATAACTAATTTTCTCCCATTTTATGCATTTTTGGCTATCCTTGTAACAATTTTTCACATTTATTTTGGCGGTAAAATTCTTTTTCAAAATATTTTATGTGATATTTTTATCTAAAATGTATGATAATACCTTTCTTCTTAATAACTTTGTGTTAACATCGTTTTTCATAATTTTTGTGTTTACAACATTTTAGGACATTATTTAATTGTTCAAGATCATTAAATGTATAAGAGGGATAAACAAGAGCTGTTGGTTTAAACATATTTATTTAAGCTCGATTGCGAAACAAGTTCTTGCAACTTATTTTAATCACTTTCGAGTCCGCTTCCTGGAACCAACCAGTACTGGTGTCATATGAAGAAACATGGTCGTGACCCGAGTAGGGCTCGAACCCATGATCTCTGGGTTGAGAGGCAGACACCTTAACCACTAGGCCACCTCTCCCCTTAAAGAGAGCTGTTAAATGTTTTATATGTATATATATGTATAGATGAGACTATAATAAAGAATAGAATATATAAATATGTTATTATTTAAAGTTTGTTTGTTTCATTTTACGCCTTTTGCCAACAGTAATTCAGTCATATAGGCGGGTAGTTTCCTAACCATCGTTCCTGGAGAGTTACACCAGTACTAGACTACCTTCGTCAGCGCTAAACTACCAAAGCTGTGAAAATGATCTCCCGGGGATCAAACTCACGCCAGAGAGATAACTGGATTAGAAGTCATCGGCTCTAACCCCTCGACCATGGAGGCGGTTATTTATAGGAACTCTACTGACATCTAAAGGCCTTAAAATATATCATTTGAATTTCTTACACAAATCAGCTAGGATACTTGAAACAGAAAGATATGCAAGTGGTAATCAAGAAATATACTTAAGTAAGAAATTGAAAATGTATTTTTGTGCTGTCTTAGCCCAATTTGAGTAAAATTTCACAATTAGAATAGTTTCCTTGGTCTTCTTTTTCACAATTAGAATAGTTTTCTGGGCCTTTTGTCACAATTAGAATAGTTTTCATGCCTTTTTTCACAATTACAATAGTTTTCTATGTCTTTTTTTTTCTAAATTTAATAGAATAGTTTTCAGGAAAATTAGAGTAAATGAATGAACTGAAATTTTGTTCACAAGTTATTGGTCTAGACTAGACCTTCATGAAATGGAATATTAATCTCAAAATATTATTTCCAATCCTGTCATGTAAAAAGGAACCCGAGCTGAGTTCCTTTAATCCTAAATAAAGAACATGCTAGCTAAGAACAAACCTTGACTCTCAAATGCCCAATATTTCTCGCCACATCTACCAAGTCCAGTCTGGATCTCGTCTGCTATACATACACCACCCGCCTCACGTACATACCTGCAACAACAAAATATATCCTTGATATATCAAGTAAAATATGATATCATACAATATATCTGTCATATTTCCACATATATCAGTCATATTTAGAATTAAGACAATATGATGTTTGAAATTTGATTTAAAATCAGAATTTAATTGAAGTACAATAAAATTATGAAATTTTTTGTTCTGTATCCTTTTCTTTTAAATAATTACTGCTTCTTTAAAACTGTTTTTAAATATAAATAATAATAATATGCAATACAAATAAGATTCATTAGAAACAACATCATATAAAGTAAAATGGTAGAACCAAAAATGTCATGAGAGTAATTAAGCAAGAAAGAGAGAGAGTTTAAAAACTTTAAAATTTGAATGTCCCTATGAAGTCCTGAAGGCTTCAAACAAGTAAACCTAAAAGGCGTTTACTTTTTTAACTTTTGAATACCAATTAAGAAAGTTCAACTGGCCATTTATAAAAGTTAAACAGGATGTTCATTGGATTAGTGTATTGAAAAAAATCTTAGAATTCACTCACAATTACACATGCATCTATCACTTGTAAATATATCATATTGTTCTCTATTGATTTTATATTTTCTTTTTTAAATCAAAAACAGAAAATTGTTGTCCGTCAATAAAAATGTACTTAATATTAAAGCTATGTTAATTCTGAAATGTTAAAAATAATATTTAAAAAAATGAAATGGGATGAAAATTTACAAGAAAATCTAATTCTAACACAACTGGCATGTTTCCCTATTGAACATAGAAGAACCTATTATGCAATAAAATCACTGTTTGATGTTCTATATTTAGACATGTGACTTAATCATTATACACTTGACGTACAACCACTAAAATTGTGATACATTGAAAATAGGTACAGAAACAAATCAGGCGAAATTTAGCTTCATATCAGTTATGGCAGCATTTATTTTTTAAGTCATGTTAGAATCTAAATAATATGAGCCGCGACACGACAAAACCAACATAGTGCGTTTGCGAACAGCATAGATCCACACCAGCCTGCGCATCCGCACAGTCTAATCAGGATCCATGCTGTTTGCTATCAGTTTCTCTTCTTGTAAAAGGGTTGGTAAGCGTGGAAGCTCAGGCTGGTCTGGTTCCATGCTTAGGTCACAAACGCACTATGTTGGTTTTGTCGTCACCCGGCTCAACAAATGACCATTAGACCAATTGTATTATTTTGATCTTTTCATATGAAAAATAATCAATATTCAATAAATGTCTACTAGTTCAAAACTCCCCTTTATTTGCACAAATTAACATACATCTTTTATTTATATATAAAAAGCCAAACACCAAACAATTTTATACTACATAAATATGCATACTATTATATCATTCTGAATGTAATCTGATGTTTTGGTACACCAAAGCTAAAATTATGACAGCAAATATCAACATGAAAAAAAAAAAAAACAACACCATTGACTGTAAATTAACAAAAGACTTTAAAATTCTTGATTATACATAAAGATTTTGATAATCTAGACTTGAATACAGTCCTATATTGTATTAAATCTAGATTAAATCTAACGAAAATTTTAGACTTAAAACATCAGTCTTGAAATGCTTTATATGATTCTTTCATAGCAGACTGGCCTTTCCGTGACTTTTACCCATGTTGGAAATTTCATCTGGCATGGGGGGTGCCAGATGAGTAGGGTGCCAAACAACAATGTCATTTTATCGCACTTTATGAATGAACAGTGCTAAAATGATGTCCTTTTAAAAGGGAAATATGTGCTTAGGATGAAGTCATTTCGCTGTTGTTATTTAAGTTGTAAGTTCATATGCTATTGTTAGAAAATAGTTATAGATGAAATGACTTCAAATTCAATTAACATATATCATAATGAGGTAAACCATTTTAAATATGAAATAATATGGCAGAATATACAAGAAAAAATAGCCGACATGTTTGCGGTTCAGATCGGAATATCGGACCCTTGGGAACCCGCCCATGGGCAGTAACTTGGCAAGCCTTGTGACAGCCCAATGGGCGGGTCCCCTCTGGACGGATATTCCGGTCCGAACCGCAACATATGACTGATATTATTAGTAATGGATTTACCATGCTTTCAATTTGCAGCAGTCCCATAAAAATTTAAGGGATTTCAACCATCAAAATACAAAAATTGAGTTTCAATGGAATATGCAGACTGGCCTAAGCTCTATGAAATTTGATCAGCAATCCAGATCTATAATGCAAATTTTACTAACAACTCGGACCTTGTGATTCTTAAAACTGATTAAACAAGCAATTATCATAGTATTGCAAGCAATCCATAAGTCCCCTACCGGTAAGAGCCCAAGCAACATTCTGAAGGGCCATTCACTTAGGTTCCTATTTTAAGTAAATTTGTTGAAAAAGTTCTTTTAAAGTGATCACAGGAAACAGTTTTTATGTACAGACAGACGGACTGAAGGACACTCTAAAGTTATTTTTTAAACATCCCTGTTATCAAAATATAACATTTTTAAAATCCTATCATGATTGAAGAAATTACCAATTTCTCAAAAAAAAGTCTAAGTTCAAAAGGGGCATAATTCTGGAAATAGTCTTGCTAGAGTATTGAACACTCACAAATGTTGAGTGACAATAAGAAACATTTATATGAAGTTTGAAGTAGATACATTCAGAAAAAGAAGTTATTAAAAAAACAATGTTTTTTTTCATGAAAATTTTAAGTTCAAGGGAGGTAATTCTGATAAATTTTGTACTAGAGTTGTAAACCTTGTCACATATGATGTGGTTGATGACAAGCAACTTATATTTAAAGTTTGAAGAAAATACCTTAAGAAATAAAGAACTTATAGTGAAAAAACTTAAAAACTTAGAATAAGAAATCTTGAAATTCAGTCTATTTGTTGCCATAGCAACCAGAATTTTCAACATAGGAAGATAAGAAAAAGATGTGCATAATTTCCATACTGCCATCTACCCATAATTGTCAAGTTTCATAAACATATTTTCAGTACTTTTTGTGTTATCACTGGATCCAGGTTATGTGTAAAATTTGCCATATTTTCAGTCTATTTGTTGCCATAGCAACCAGAATTTTCAACATAGGAAGAAAAGAAAAAGACGTGCATAATCTCCATACTGCCATCTATCCATATATCAAGTTTCATAAAAATATTTTCAGTACTTTTTGCGTTATCGCGGCGGGATCCAGTTTATGTGTAAAATTTGTCATATTTTCAGTCTATTTGTTGCCATAGCAACCAGAATTTTCAACATAGGAAGAAAAGAAAAAGACGTGCAATAATCTCCATACTGCCATCTATCCATATATCAAGTTTCATTAAAATATTTTCAGTACTTTTCGCGTTATCGCGGGATCTAGTTTTGTGGACGGACGGACTGACGGACGGACAGACGGACGGACAGACGGACGGAGGGTAAACCTAAAGTCCCCTCCGGTAAACCGGTAGGGGACTAAAAACACATTGCATATCACATCAAACTTTCAGAATTTCAACATTTGTTTACCCTATGTCACTAACTGATCAAATAGGCATTCATATGTATATTACGATACAAACACAAAACTGTGTCAACTCACTGTCATTCAAATGAAATATAACATACAGAGTATACAAGTAACAAAAACAGTCAATCAGCCAAAACTTTACAAACATTTAACAAGTAAATAACCATTCACATAACAAAGAAACTTTAAGATAACCGTAAATATTCTTCAGAAACTTTTTTTTCCATATACATGTATTTACCATACCTGTATATGACCTTGGAACAGAAATCTAGATTACATATAATCACCTTGAACCTATATATACCATGTTATAATTATACAGGAGAGGTACGACGATATTCATTCTCTTACGAAACAAAACACGCATCCATAACATGGACTTTTCATATAATTAACTTTTGTCAGGAAATATTATCAAAAGACACACGCGACATGAGAAGATTATCTAACAAAGTCGTGAAATATTTCCAACAAATTATATCTGATCAATTTTCACATTGGTTGTGCAACAAAACTGCTTGAAATTAGAGAGAACTCAAATACTGAGCAACATTACTGGAAAAATCTCACAAGAATTCAATTTATATCTTGGTTACTACACAAAAATACATGTATACCAACAAAAGACAATATGAAGCAATACAGATCAATATTAAAAAGCATGCATATTAAATTCAATGTAAGTTATCTTAAAGATCTCGTTGGAATTTTGTCAAGAAATGTTAAACAAAGAAAAAAATAGTGTAAAGATAGATTAAAAACTGTTTCTCCATTTAAAGGGTTCCATTGAGTTTTTTTTAGAAATGACCAGACTGGAAAAGAATTTTGAGATGTAGGTCTAGATGCAAACTTTAAAATTATTAGGTCACTTAGGTTTTCATAATAATTATTCTCATTGTGAAAAATGACCCAAAATTGAGAAGTATAGCAATGTTTTTCACTCGAATTGGGCTAAGAATAGCAGAAAAATACAACTGCAGAGTATATTTCTTAATAATCTTTTGCATATCTTTCTGTTTTAAGTGCCAAAGCTGACGTATGTAGGGTATTCAAATTTTATTTTTGGACCTCAGTGGAATCCTTTAACAATCCTTAACAAGATATGTTTGTAAAACATGTATGCCCCCTATAAGCAGCCAATTTCTCATGTGATCAGGTTATTATGCATGACTTCTGATCTAGTATCTACTGGTCATGACTAGTCACAAGGTAATAATTATTGTGACCCCATAGGTTGTGTGCAGCAATTAAAGTTATTAAAAATCTTACCAAATAATATATACATAAATTTTATGAATCACATAGGCCTCATTAATGACAGCCAAGTTGTTATATTACATAAGACCTTCTGTGTATACCAAAAGCAAATAAAAATATCAACCAAAGCAACTTGTTGAGTTATTGGTCAGAAACGGTCATTAAGTACAAGGTCACTATGAGATTAACCATTTTTACCTACAAGGTCAATGTGACCTTGACCTTTGACCC